TTTTTCCATTGGATATTCTTTCCTTCTTTGTCAAAGATTAGTTGGCCATCCTTTTCTGAGTCCAATTCTAGAGTCTCCATTCTATTCCATTGGCCTATGTATCTGTCTTTGTGCCAATACCATGATGTCTTGATGATGACAGCTTTGTAGTAGAGGCTAAAGTCTGGGATTGTGATACCTCCCACTTTAGTCTTCTTCTTCAATATTACTTTGGCTATGCGGGGTCTTTTGTGGTTCCATACAAATTTTAGGATGGTTTTTAACTCAAAATAAATGTGTTCGTGGGTGGGAGGGAGTGACCTCAGTTTAATTCTTGCAGTAGCTCTAGGAGGCACTAATTTATTCCTCCTACTTTTCAAATGAGGAAACTGCAGCCCAGGGTGGTTCTGAGGCAAGTATAAGTTGTCCTAGATTGATGGGAGAGCACATCTGTGACAGGGGACATGAGAGCATGTGTTGAAGCTGCTCTGCATTCAGAGGTGGGATATTTAAATTAGAGGCTGTGCTTGGTGGGTATGTGTAGTTGAGTCTCTGACCCCTGACCAGTGAGGGGGACGGAACTTTGTCCTGTGGGATGGCTTAGAGTCTCCTGTCCAAATGCCACATCTTGATGCCTGTGCCCCATTGCCTCTCCAACTTCTCTCCTGAGACAGAAGCAGATGGCAGCTGAGCGAGAGAAGGTGGGTGCAGAGTTCCAGGCTCTGCGGGCCTTCCTGGTGGAGCAGGAGGGCCGGCTCCTGGGCCGCCTGGAGGAGCTGTCACGGGAGGTGACACAGAAGCAAAATGAGAACATAGCTCAGCTTGAGGGTGAAATCACCCAGCTCTCCAAGCTCAGCAGCCAGATCCAGGAGACATCTCGAAAGCCTGACCTTGACTTTCTCCAGGTGAGTCTGGCTTGGCCAGAGGTATGGATCATTTATCCTAAGGCTTCATAAACAGTGAGAACAGAGTTAGATCCTGTGAATTTAGTAGAATCACATACTCAAGCAGAAGGGGACTGGAGAAAACTGCCCTGATTCTCCTGGGGTTAAAGGTCTAAAAAGTTGTGATAAAAATTTCTTGACCTCGAGTCACAATAAAGATCTTACTGGCTTTACTCAACGACATGAATTGAGCAACATCCAATCTAGCAGACAGAAAGGAGTTCCAAAGAGCTATATGCAAGGCTTATGTCTTATTCCAGGATGTAAACCTTATGCCAAAAGTCTCATAAAATAATACTTTACTACACCGGATGTACTTTGACATTTTCTATTCTATTTCCTTTTAAAATAAATAGTCACACTCTCTCCCTCCTTCCCCTGCTCATTTTCTCAATATTTATTAATATTACTAATAAATTATTAATAAACTTTAAAAAGGGGGGGGTTGGGTGGCTCACTTGGTTAAGCTTCAGACTCTTGATTTCAGCTCAGGTCATGATCTCATGGTTGGTGGGATCAAGTCCCGTATGGATCTGCAGTGACAGCAAGGAGCCTGCTTGGGATTCTCTCTCCCTCGCTCTCTGCCCTTCCCCCACTTGCTCATGGGCTCTCTCAAAACAAATAAATAGTCACAATCCACAAATTGGTCAAGAATAGGCATTTGAAAGGTGCTGGTATGAGTAACCAGTCACTGCATAAGAGCTGTGACTTATCTGGGGTGGTGTAGAGAGGGTAGGCAACACTGGATCCCAGCACAAAGCTCCAGTGATGATTCTGTAATGAAGAGAGCATTTGCAAAGCTGTGGGCAGAGAGTTGATAAGACACCCAGAAACCAGCCACAGCAGGAAGCCATTGACACCTGGGCCCATAAAGGTGGTAGGGAGTGGTAGTACACCTTATTGCTTATTCCTCTGGGGGTACCTAGATCCCTGGGTGCCTTGGTTGGCCAAGCCTCTGACTCTTGATCTCAGATCAGGTCTTGATCTCAAGGTTGTGAGTTCAAGCCCCACCTTGGGCTATAAACTGCTTGTGGAGCCTACTAAAAAAATAAAAATAAAAAAAGTTGCATATTCCTCTGGAAGCAGCACAAGGGGTCAGTTTTATTTTCTCAAAAGTAACTGGAGGTTACCTCGTGCTGATTTGGCTTTCTTTCATCTTTCTTTCCAGGAATTCAAAAATACACTAAGCAGGTGAGTGGACCTAAGATTTCCTTAGGTCTTTCCAAGCTGGCTCTTCTCCTTTTCCACTGAGCTCTCTCTCTTCATCCCCTCATCCCTGACCTCACACTCCCAATTCCCACACTGCCTTACCTATGTACCTTCTAAGGCAAATGTCCACCTGCCTGGCTGTGGATATTCCGCTGCAAGATCAGCCTCTCTTTTCCTACCTCTCCCCACCAAGAGGACCTTACCATCCTAATTGTCACAGCCTGGTGGGAGTGGGACAGTGTTTGTAGGCCTTCCTCAGGCTCTTTGTCCTGCAGATGCAGCAATGTGCCTGGTCCCAAGCCAACCACAGTCTCTTCTGAGATGAAGAATAAAGTCTGGAATGTTTCCCTCAAGACCTTTGTCTTAAAGGGGCTGCTCAAGAAGTTCAAAGGTAGGGCCTGTGCTTGGGGTTGGGCCATGCAGTGCTGGTGGCCATGGTGTGTTTCTGGTAGTTTGGGGGCCCGGGAATGTGTCTTTCCAGAAGGTTTGTTAGAAAATAGGAGCTAGGGTGTGTCAAGGACAGATTGGCGCAGGGAGATGGTGGTGGCAAATCCATTCAGCAGCCCCTGCTCCCCAGAGCACAAAGATTCCCCCAGGGACAGGCAGGGTAGAGGGCTACTGGGGCAAGAAGAAGGATGAGGAGGGAGAGCTCAGCTCAGACTAGCTCAGGCAAAAGAGAGGGAAGTGGAAGAGGTAGAGCTAGGATACTGCCCCTTCCTGACCCCTCACACTTGACCCAGTGTCTACACATCAACTCTCAGCCTTCGGGGTATCTGGCTGTAAATGTCAGAGGAGGTGATATTCACCATCATTGCCAGATAGACAATCTTCTGAGTCATTTACGAATATCCTGCTTTGTTTCTCCTCCTCAGAGGATCTTCGTGGAGAGCTAGAGAAAGAGGAGAAAGGTAAGATGGTTCTTGTGATAGTGATTTCCCATTATTTGACCATGTAGAGAATCCACTGCCTCCCCATGATTGTTTCTCTGGGCTTTGTGAATGGCTGGTTCCTTCTACCTGCCTGCCTCTGCCCTCCCCTCATCCTTGCCTCCCAGTTCTGGCTCCCTCAGGCCTCAGTGGGACCTTTAGGCCTATAAATTGCGGACCAGTCACCTGGATGAGCCTCTCTCCCCATTCCCCCTTCCAGACAAACAGAGACCTCTCCTGGGGACAGGGCTTGTGTGCAGGGGTCAGGCAAAGCAGGAAGAGATTGAAGACAGGAAGGGAGGAGGTTCTTACTACTGCAGAGCTCTGGGGTGAGTGGGATCCAACTCTGCAGGAGGGCAGAGGGGGGCACATATTCATGATGCTAATGATTGATCAAGCTATGTCAGAATTTACCATGGAAGGATCTAAACCAAGTCAGATCATGACCCTCCTCTGCACAGAACCCTAGGACAGCCCCTCTCATTCAATAATGTCCTCTCTATGGTCTTCAAGGCTTCATAGGCTCTGAACTCACTGCACGCTCTCCCTCTAGCTTACTCTGTGCAGCCACAACAAGTGCTCTTTGCTGCTTCTCAAATGCACTAAGCACACCCCCACCTCAGAGCATTTGCACTGCACTGGCTGGCCTCAGCCTTGAATATGCTTCCTCTAGACAGCTACATGCCTGGCTTCGTCACCTCCTTTATGTCTTTGCTCAAATGCATACCTAGGCCTTTTCACCTTCCCTGGCCACTCTAATTGAAATTACAGCCTTCTCTTCTGACTCCTCTTATTGTCCATGTTTACCATTTATTGTCTCTTCTTTCCTTCCCCCCAGAAAGGAAGCTACAGGAGGGCAGGGATACTGAACCGTGGGATTCCCAGGGCCTAGAATAGTCCTAGAACATAGTACTTATGACAAGTGTGCATATTTTAAGTTTTTATTATGAAAAAATTTAAATATATACAAAAGTAGAGAGAAGATCATAATGAATATTATGTTCTCATCATAGACCTTCAGCTGATATTTTTATAAACGCCCCTACCTGCTTCTTCCCACTGGATTATTTGGAAGCAAATCATGGATAAGTTATTTCCATAAATATCAGTATGTTATCTCTAAAGATAGACTTAAAAAAAAAACCACAAATCCATAATCACAATTAGAAAAAGTAATGCTTCTTTCTAACACCTAGTGTTTGAAATTCTCCAGTTGTCTTTTAAATTGTATTTGTCGATCTGTTCTAATTGTGATCCAAATTAGGTTCACACATTCCTTTTGTTTGGCTTCCACTTGTACATGTTTTGGGGGGATGGTGGAGGAGAAGTAACTGACGGGAGCTGGGGAGAGGGCTTGCATGGGACATCTCTCCCTGTCTCTGCCTTCAGTGGAGCTGACCTTGGACCCCGACACTGCCAACCCCCGCCTCATCCTCTCTCTGGATCTTAAGAGCGTGCGCCTTGGACAGCGGGCGCAGGACTTGCCCTGCCACCCACGCCGCTTTGACACCAACACGCGAGTCTTGGCGTCCTGTGGTTTCTCCTCCGGGCGGCACCACTGGGAGGTGGAAGTGGGCTCCAAGGACGGCTGGGCCTTCGGCGTGGCGCGAGAGAGCGTGCGCCGCAAGGGCCTCACGCCCTTCACCCCTGAGGAGGGCGTCTGGGCACTGCAGCTCAACAGCGGGAAGTACTGGGCAGTGACTAGCCCTGAACGGACGCCCCTCAGCTGTGGCCACCTGTCCCGCGTGCGGGTGGCCCTGGATCTAGAGGTGGGGGCCGTGTCCTTCTACGCTGTGGAGGACATGCGCCACCTCTACACCTTCCGCGTCAACTTCCACGAGCGAGTGTTCCCCCTTTTCTCTGTCTGCTCCACCGGCACCTACTTGCGAATCTGGCCTTGAGAGTCTTTGGCCTCCCAGAGAGGGTGAATCAGTCCAGGGTGAATACCTCCTCATCCGGGCTGCCCATGGGAAGCAATGCTGCCCTCTATCGGAGCCTCCTGGTTACTGTGGGCCTGCCTTCCAGATTGGCCCCGGGCTGCCTTGGAGGGGCTCCTGCAGATCACAACATTGGAGACAGAAAACGGGCGATTGTGGAAAAGGGTTCCGTGGTCAACTGAGTAGAAGAGAAGATGCCTTGGACCCTTGGCGCCTGTCCTCTGCCTGTTGTCGACATGTGGATTTAGCCTGAGCTGTGAGGACTTGGAGGTGGGTGAGGACAGGAGCCCAGCTATTGACAGAGGTGTTTCCCATCACTGGGACTTTCTACCTGGACTTAGCAGGGCCTCTGGTTCTGGAGCAATAGCAAGTACAGTGCTGTCCTCAGGTGCAAGGGGGCAGGTTCAGGCCCAGCCAGCCAAGTTCATGACCACTTCTGCTTTGCCTTCTTGTCAGCTTCTAGCTCTGCCTTCAGACGCCTGGATCCACCTGGCCCTGAGGTCATTTACTCAGGGAGGAGCACTGTTCTCCCAGGTCAGAGAACAGCTTGGGACAGAACTGAAAGGAGATTCTTGACCTGTACATGAGAGGAAAGCCCAGGACAATGGCATTTATCATGGCTACCTTCCAATACCCCTTAATGATGATACAGAGTGATATGTACATCCTCTGCCACAGTGACAGCCATGTGTTCTCACACATGCCTAAACCCCTTTTAAACGCCAAAGTATAGTCTCCCTTGAGTAAGGAGACCAAAGGCTATGGGATTTTGAAACACAAAACAACACTTATGATTTTACAGATGCAACTAATATCAGCATGGGAATGCACAGAGCACAAACATGCCCCTGATATACCCTTCCTGGAACTTGTCAAATGTGTGCCAACAGCAGAGGACCCTGGTGCCAAGGTCTGCTCAGCCTGTGCCCTGGTGGGGTGTTATTCCCTTGGCTAATTGTTCCCAAGCTTCTGTTTGGGTGGGCTTCTGGGAGGGGGTTTTGGGCAGTTTCCTGTTTAGTGCTACCCAGGGAAGGGGGATGAGGAGATGGAAATACAAACTCTGAGCTCATTTGTAGGATGGCTTAGCTCATTCTTGACTCCTCCAGTCTGAGTGCAAGAGCACAAGTAGTAGTGAAGGTTTCTGCTAGACTGGGTGATCAGTTGTGTTTAAATGTGTGGGGAATGTGTGCATGTATGTTTATATCTCAGATTGAGGGGGCAGGGGTTTGTGTGGATTTTGGAGAGCAGTTTTATCAGCACATGCATAGGTTTAGGTATTGCAAACAGACCTAGGTCAATTTGGTAATACCCTATTTTTCATTTGTTGTTAAATATTAGCCACTCCACATTTAGGTGAGGGTCATGGTTTTCCTCCCCCACTACCTAGCTAACTGGCTAGATGAATCTGTTTAGACAGATATGTTGGCATGTAGGGACAGTGACAATTGAATAACCTGGTCTGCAAGTGTCATGGGGTTTCTGTGCTCTGTCCCTGAGATGCTCCAAGCACACTTTGAATACAGGGGTCTTACAGGGGAGGCATGACACTGTTCTAGAGGCAGACACAGCAGACATAGCACCAGGAAATCTGAATCCAATGTCCTATGGGCCTGGGTCAGGATCATATAAGTGTCCAGCCTACAGTATAATTGTATCATTCCAGAGGGTGAATCCTATGTTGTGTTCAAATATGGAGAAGTTCTAGAACACTGCAGCCAATCCATGTATTTGAATACTACTCATTTCCACAAGGACCCCCCCCCCCCCCCCGCTTTATTTTAACACTCACTTGCTAATTAAATCGCCTAATGTTATCGTCAAGCCCTGATATTATCTGGGCTTATATGGCTTTTGGACTGAGTATCACAGTTACCTTTAAGGTCACATAACAACTGTGCTGAAGTATTGCAACACATATTACAGGTCACAGAAGGTGGGTGTCTGGTGGAGGTGCCTGTAGGGCCAGGTCTGGGGACTGTACGAGTGGCTGTCTGTGTGTATATTTTCAGCTTTTGTGTTTGTGAATGTGATTGTGTGTCTATCGAAGTATGTGTTTGCAGAGTTAATAACTACATAGACATCTATATATCTGAAGAAATATAACAACAGTTACAGTAACATTACAGTAACAATCACACATTGAGATGTTCTCTTTTGGTCAACAAGGCAATGTAGTGACTTTGGATGTCACAATGCTGGTGTGAGGGTATGTGTGATTGTATGCAATTTTCTCTTCCATCCTTTGGGATCCTAAGATCTGTTAGGTGTTCAGGTCTCTGAAAGCAATGACTGGCTTAGCTTGGGTCCTTCTGACCCCACCCATTAGTCCCAGATGCTTGTGAATTGCATGAGCTAGTTCCCTGACAACAGACCCTTAAATGGTTCCTCAGCATACAGACTTGAGGGTGCCCATGGATCTAAGTCACCTGGCCTTGCAGGGACCATAAAGCAGGTTGGGCCACCAGGGCAAGGTCCATCACTTACAGCAGTCACTTTCTTTTTTTTTAATTTAAAATTTTACTTTAATTTGAGTTGGTTAACATAAAGTGTTATATTAGTTTCAGGTGTACAATATAGTTAATTCAACACCATACATCACCCTGTACTCATCATGACAGGTGTATTATTTAATCCCCATCACCTATTTAACCCATCCTCCCCTCCCCTCCCCTCTGATCACCATGAGTTCATTCTCTATAGTTAAGAGTCTGTTTCTTGATCTTATTTTTTTCCCTTTGCTCACTTGATTTGTTTCTTAAATTCCACACACGAGTGAAATCATATGGTATTTGCCTTTCTCTGACTTATTTCACTTAACATTATACTCTCTAGCTCCATCCATGTGCTTGCAAATGGCAAAATTTCATTCCTTTCTATGGCTGAATAACATTCCATTGTATATATATACCACTTCTTCTTTACCCATTCATCAATGATGGACACTTGGGCTGCTTCCATATCTTGTACAGCCGCAACTTCCTGACCGTTGCAGGACTAGGGCTCCTGTCTCTCACCTGGGCTCTCACCCTGCTCTCTATCCCCTGGGATTTTAGGGACTTTTACAGAACCAGCACCTCCAGAGTTGAGGTGGGCCCCAAAGGTTGCCTTTTCCTTTATTTTTTTTTTTAACTATTTGAAAGTTTTTATTTTTTTATTTTTTATTTTATTTTTTTTTAAATATGAAATTTATTATCAAATTGGTTTCTATAGAACACCCAGTGCTCATCCCAACAGGCGCCTTCATCAATACCCATCACCCACCCCCATCAACCCTCAGTTTGTTTTCAGTTTTTAAGAGTCTCTTATGTTTTGGCTCCCTCCCTCTCTAACCTCTTTTTTTTTTTTTTTTTTTTTTTTTTTTTTTTCTTCCCCTCCTCCATGGTTTTCTATTAAGTTTCTCAGGATCCACATAAGAGTGAAAACATATGGTATCTGTCTTTCTCTGTATGACTTATTTCACTTAGCATAACACTTTCCAGTTCCATCCAGGTTGCTACAAAAGGTTGCCTTTTCCTAACTTGCCTAAAGGTGCCTCAGGGGCTAGGGAACCCCACCCCTGATCCAGTCCTTTTCCCACCAGCACCTCCTCACGCTCTGACCTTCCGATTTCTCCAACACCCTCTCTCAGCCTCTCACTCACTGCCCACTGACAGCCCACCTTACCAGCCCGGACCTGGATTCCTTCGGAACAGGCCTACTGACACCCTTACCCTAACTCCTCCCTCGCAGCCCTGACCTTGGACTCATTCTCATACAGAATAAGCCTTGGACTTATCTATCCAACCCGTCTTTGCCCCCGACTCCCAAGCCGGAGAAGGACCTCGGGTCTTCCTACAGCTCCGCCCACTGGAGGCCCCGCCCCCTCCCACGTCGGGTAGTGCTCTCACCCTATCTCTCACACGATCTGCCCTGTCTCCCAGGATTTGCGGTTTGGCCTGCCTCACTGACACTTATTGAAGTACCCGGAGAGGCAGCGAGGGCCCAACTGGGCCCTAGTTCGTGGAGAGACGCCGGCCGGCTTGTTACTGCTTAGCTCCTTCCTGTGGTTCATTGCGGCTGCGCGGCAGACGATGACAGCATCAAGTATTCTTGCGCAGAGACAAAGTTTACGGTTGGCTCCATAGCTCAGGGGTTAGAGCACTGGTCTTGTAAACCAGGGGTCGCGAGTTCAAATCTCGCTGGGGCCTGCTGCCGCGTCTTTTTTTCCCCACCCTTTCCTCAAAGGTGGAAAAGCGGAAGATGCTTGAGCCAACACGAATTTCCGCTTTTCTTAGAGACCAGGCCTTAGGCGGAGCTGCCTGTTCCTTGACACTTAGATGCCCACCGACTAAAAGTGGCTTTACTTTTTCAAGAACCAAACCCACTGCGTCCGTGACCTTTCGATCACAGGCTCCGCTGGCTCCGCGCGTCTTCTCCACAGCGGTCCTTCGCTGGTATCCTTCGCAGGCTCTCTGCAAGTTCGTGGAAGGTCTTTCCGTTCCCCTCCTCTCACCTACTCAGGCCAGGGAGTCGCCCTGGTCTCTGTCTTCTTCGTTAAGTGGGGACCACCTGTCTGTGCCCACCTCTTAACAACGCACCCTGGGAATCTATTTTAGTCTGGAGGGGGACTAGGTTTAAGCCTTACCCTTGGCTCGCCATTGCTCTCCACAATCTAGCTTCCATAGTGAGGTGGTTGTCCAGTGGGGCAGGAACATAGGGTCAACGAATTCCAGGAGCCCGGGACGCGCAGGTGCCGGAAGGTGCCGGTACGCTCCTGGCCTATCCTGGGCGTGTCTGTTCGGGTCTTGAAGCACTCTAGGCTCTTTGGATGGGAGCCGGCCGGTGCAAAGGCCTATGGCCCCCATCCACCACGCTCCCTACCGGCTTACTCCCTTTGCCTCTTCTCCGGCGTCTACCCAGGTTTCCGCAAGCGGTTTTCTCCACTCTGTTGCCCCAGGCCGGGGTTGTTTTCGAAACCCGAATCGCGATAGAGTGCTGCCAGGAGTCAGCCGCGTCCCCACGTGGGGACTTTTCTGAAGGTCCCGTTTGACTTGGAGAGAGGACTCCTGCGGGCTGGGATAGCGCGGCGGGGCATGGTCACGCCTCTGCCTGAGCCACGGCTGCCTAGTAGGGTAGTGCGGGCGAAAGCCGTGGCGGGATGGTGCCCTAGACCCTCCGTGAGCCTGGCTCTGCCTATCTGGCAGCGCCCCAGTTGTTCACTGGGGATTTAGTTTCATTTTGTACACTTGACTTCCTTTAACAGCATAAATAAATAAATCAAAGTCAGAAGGTCAGCAGTTGTGTTTTTATTGTTTTGTTTAAAAGAAAAACTAAATGGTTAAAAAAAGGCCGGAAGTAAATGGGACAATTATAGTCTTTAGGGCAGGTGTTACTAATTGTGGAAGTTTGTACTTTTCGTTATATAATTCCATAGAGAAGAGAAGCAAATGGTTACGACACGGAGGTGGTAGTAACGGAGGCCGAGGACACACGGTGGCCTAGGGCAGAAGAGAGCCCATCTAACGCTTTGTGCGTCTCGAAAAGAGACGAGGACAACGCCAACGCCTTGTGGCGAAGAGGCGGGTTAGCATTGTGTTTTCCAAGGAAAAGTCCGAGAGGAGCAGCGAATGGAGCGGTCAATGCAGAGGGATGAGCAAGATCGTGGAGTGGCAGTAGATAAATTAGCACTTTTTTCCTTGGAGGAGGTTAACCACCATTCGTCTCCCACTCATTTTTTATAACTGCCGTTGTGTAGGAAATTTCTTTGCTGGCTGCACAAAAATAAACCTTTGGACCAGCTCTGAGTGGATTTTCGTGAATTTTACAGCAGGAAATCAGAATCACTGGTTTTTGTTTTTTTACTACTGAATAATCCAGCGCAGTTAAAGTCTTTTTAGGGAAAGCAAGGCTGAGACGAGGGAGGACAGCGCCCGCACAGCCCAGGACCCTGGTTTGGCGGGAGCCGATGGCTGCTCCAGTGCAATCTCGGGACAAAGCTTCGGGGACGGAGAGCCGGGGCATTCAGCCTGCGTGCCC